AGCCAATTACTAGCCACCACGTGTGAATAATTTAGCACTGGCCAATAGTGGGGCACAAATTTACATTCGAATGGTGGGAACTCTTTGCACCGTGCATTTCTGTGCTGCAAAGAAGAAATGCATCCTGCAAAGGAAACTGCAAATTGGCGGGAACTCTCTCCTGCACGCGGGTTCTCAATTGCAGCAGAACACTCTGCCGTGCAAAGGAGCTCTCATGTGGCCAGGAAATTCCATAGTGCCGAGGCACCAAAATCACTGGGTCATGACATAAGTGAGTACATCAAGGGCTCAGTGAGCAACTGTTCACCACGGTACTCAAGGGGGACACCAGGAATAATGGCCACCAACTCCTGGAAGATTGATTCAGGCTCAACATTAAGAAAAACTTCACAGTCAGGGTGTCCAGACTGTGGAATAAGCTCCCTCCAGAGGTGGTGCAATCACCTACCCAGGAAATCTTCAAGAGGAGACTAGACAGTCACCTCACTGAGGTTACCTGACCCCATTATCTTTCCTGCTTGGTGCAGGGGGCTGAACTTGATGATCTTCCAAGGTCCCTTCCGGCCTTACAATCTATCAATCTTCAGCTGTGCACAGAAATACCACCTGGGAAAGGGGCCACTGAAGAAGATACTAAAGGACTTCAACTTGAGCAGCACAACTGTGGAGAGTGGTTACACTTTAATGGAACAGGAGCTGGGTAGTGCAGATCAGAGATAATCCTATCCTGGAGTGGAAACACTTTGAGCCACATAATGGGTGCTTTAAGCCATTTAAAGATGTTAACCTGGGGCCAGTTCAGGGATTAAGAGCTCCAGAAGCTCCCTAAAATTACCACACAAGAATGCCCCAACTGCAATAACAAGTTTTGCCAGTAGAACTTAATCTGTTCTTTTGATTAGTACTTGCAAACTGAAAAGATATTTCACCTTTACAAATCTATTTCCATGTATATCATAAAGTTTACTATCTGAAGATTTAAACCTTCTGAACTAATTTAGCAATCCATCATTGTTAACAATCCCTTAAACTGAAAGAGTTAGGGTATTACAAACAAAGGAATTACAGAGTCAAAAAAGGGATGCAAATCTGATGTGCCATCTAACTATTCATTTGCATCCTCTGATCCCGCAGTAAGCAAAAGATAAATCAAGGTGCAGACAGCCCCTCTATTGAGGCACAGTAAATCCACATCTCTTATTACCTTGCTGTAATTTATCTGTTGTTCCATGCCTTTACAAATATTTCAATTTCCAACTAGTTTTAAACATGCCATTTCAGTACAAAGAAGATAACATTTAAGGGAGATGAATGCTTTGCTACTTTTGTACTAGTTATTAGTTCCCTCTGCTGGAGGACAAATACATTTTAGCCACACCATTTAACTTTTTTATTTCAAATATACCTTGTAAAATTGGAATGCAGAATTCCAACTCAGGTTAAATTTCACTTCTTTGAATATCCATGTGAATGTCATGACTATCCATCACAATTCTTACCCCACACTTGAATACATTTAGGAAGGGGGGTGGTGAAAAAACTACAATATATTCGTCTCCTTCAAATGACAATTCTTACCTGGTCTAAGATATCGACAATCTTTGCACAAAGAAGGGCTCCTGGCAGGTCAAAATAGTTATCATAGAAGTAATATTTAGCTACAAAAAAAGCAAAAGCAAAAAGGTTTGTTTTAATGTTTTAGGGGTTTCTTCCCCCTGCAAATAAAATACACATTTACTATAAATTTCTCTACTGGAATTTTAACTAGGAATAGACATTGAATATTTAAAATTGGGCACCACTATGTTACTTTTCTTTTATGACTTAATTTATTTTTTACTCATTTTTTTCCTCATTCAGCAGGGAAAGAAAATTGCCATTCTGGGTCAAATCAGTGAGATTTTGAATATTTGATTAAATTAAATGTTTAAAGGCCACAGGGTGAAGTTCTCACTCTGGCACTAAGCTTTGCATGGTGGGTAAAAAAGACCAGACTTGTGTCATATGCTGTAAAATCAATGGGGTCAGTCAGAGCAAGATTCCTCCAAAGCAAGAAATCAGAAACAGAATTATGATGCACACCTTCAAGGTGCTCCATACAAATCCTGACACAAAATCAAAACAGGAATAGGATTACCATAAGTAGCAGTTTGGAAATTAAGGCAGCTTCCTATAATTTACACCCTATCGAAATTGCCCAGCAGGGTTTTCTGTCCCTGGAACAACTATAGGCAGGAACATAAACACATTGCCTCTGTGTAGTCTAAGTGTTCTGTGCTGGGCCTCCTGGAAAACCAAGACAGAATCTCACCCTAGGACGCCAGTCCTGCAGAGAACCACACGGATGCTATGCCAAACAATCCTAGATACTCCCTTGGAACAACTCACACAATAGAGTTATGCATGTGGTTTATGGCTTTGATCCCGCAAGTTTTGCTCACTAGTTTCATATGCTATATAAAATTAACATTCACGAAGGAGGTCAACTTAAATTTTTCAGTGATTAAGAAATGCATTTGAGCATTAGCCTTTACAACCAAATTAGACTAAGATTACCAATATGTTTTACATGGAGCAAACAGCTTCCAACCATTACCGATAGCTTCCATCCATTGCTGACTTGGGTTTTATCTGAACCCAAGAAATTGAGGTGAAAAGCTACATATTCCATTACCAATGCACAAGCCACCAACTTGTTTTATCTTTTTCTAACATCAAAAACTGTTTAAAATAGATTGTGTTATCCTAATGAGTCCTGCAGTGGTTAGAAAAGTTTTCAAGATCATAAAATCCAAGTAAAAGAGATTCAAATACCTGTACGGGAGATCATTCCACTGACTGTTTTAAAGTGCTTCCATTCCTTCCTTCCATAAGTCTCCAAGATCTCTTCAGGAGTCATACTCTTCGTACCATGGCTTGCCCTAGTTAATATATTTTGTCATGGTTAAAAATGCTAATCTCATTCCAATTTCCTACTATGCAGAGAATTATGCAATAATCAACTACAGGGCTGGGCTGTGGGATGGTTTCCTCTCCTACTTCCACTCAAATTTGCTGGGGGAAAGGGAGGAGTGTACTCTCAGATGTCACACTTGACCTTCTCATGACCCAGAGATTCCCTCATAAATTTGACTGTGCTGTCTTGGAAATAAGACTATGAATTCTACTTTTTCATCTAAGGAATTTCGCTTTAAAGATTCCACTGTTCCATCCACTTTACAGCTGTCATCTGCTCCATAGTAACCTCCAGTTTCTACCGTCTTATTCTATGGTAAGTAAAATCTAAAGCATGCTAACTTACCCCTCTTCCTCTGAATGAAATTCACCATGGTTTAAGCTTCCACTTCGCACAGGGTTAGAACATGGAGCTGTTAATGTATAGTCTCCTTTTATTCTGCTTTTGTTCATATGTCCATACCCTTGGTTTTTAAGTTCCAAGTATTAATTCTTAACAGCCAGTGTCTGGTCAGTATTATTTTAAAAGTCTCTTAAATCAGTCTACTTATAAAATATTTTTTTCTCCCAATGAAGATGTGGTGCAATCCTACAGCCATTTCTCCTGTTATGATTTCAGACATGCCCATATGTTTTCCTAGCATCTCCAAAGGTCTGTACAGACAGTTCTTGACATACCACTTTTCGAGTTGCAACAAAAGCCACTTATGATGTTTAGGAATTGACACCCCATTTCAATGTTCCAATGTGGGTTTCATCTTTATGACGGTCGATATTGTATGCAGCTGGTAAGTGGTAGAAGGGGAGGGGGAAGGGAAGAGGTGTAGGGGGGCAGACCAATGCCCCCTGCAGTGTGGGAGGGACTGGGACCTAGGCTGGGGCAAGCACTGGCCACCCGGAGCCAGTCAGGTGCAGGAAGGCAGAGACGGTGGGTCCCGCTGCTGCACGCTGCTTGTCTGGCAGCTTGATCAGCGGTTCCCACTGCTGCCCCTGCTGCTGGTCCAGAAAAGCATGGGGGGGGTGCCCCCAGATCTGCATGGGGAGGGGCGGGCGGGGCCGGGGCTGCGCTCTGGGCAGGCGGTGGGGTTACAGCAAATTTTTGGGTGGCTGCAGCCCCTCCATAGCCCCCACTCTGCTGCCCGCCCCACCCCAATCTGGGGACACACGACCCTCCCACATGCCCTGCCCAGCCAGGGCAGGATGGGCACAGGGCACAGCCACTGCACAGCCTCCAGACAAGTGACACACATTGGAGGGAGCCACCCCCACTCCCCGCACGCCCCAGACGAGATGCAGCTTTGAAGGCATGGGGGGCGTGTGCCCCCAGATCTGCATGGGGTGGGGTAGGAGCTGCACCAGGCTGCGCTCCAGGCTGGCAGTGACAGCGCTGGGAGCAGGGGCTATGACCTCCCACCCCTCGCCCAGGCTGGTCCCAGCCCCAGTCCCAGTCCCTCCCTCACAGCGGGAGATGCTGATCTCCCCCTTCCCTTTCACCACTTACCAGCTGCATGCTGTATCGACTATCATAAAGGAACCAACCCCCCACTTGTAACACTGTTCTTATGGAAAAGCTGGTTCTGACTTACGACATTTTGACTTAAAATGTGGTTTTCAGGACCAATTGCATCCTAAGTCTGAGGACTGCCTGCATTTCATCCCAATAGCACCAAACGTAGGACTGGAAGAGGTCTTCTGAGTCAAAGTCCAGTTCCCGGCACTGACAAGCAAGTGTTAGCTAAAGGAAATCCCAAATCATCACTTAAATCATAACCTAGTTTCCAGGAGCAAAATTCAAATAACAAAAAGCTCCACAGAATGCTAAAGGTAAAAAGTATGGGTGAAAAGCACACTGCCAAAGCCCTACCTCTAGAATAAAAGGGAAGCAGTTGGTTATTATATTCGCAAAAGATACTAGAAAGAGGACCACACCCTATATCAGGGGCTGGCAGCCAGGAGTACGTGTAACCCTGCGGGTACTTGGGAAGACCTCAGGGGGTATGTGGCAGCAGTGCGGAGAAGCAGGGGCACTTCGGTTTCACCGGCAGCGTTTCCACTGTTGCCACAAGCCCTGCCTCTGCTTGTTAATCAGCCACCAAAGGACACCCCCCACTCTCCCTCCCCCGACCCCCGCTCATCAACCAGCTGGGGGACTCCCTGTTTCTCGACTAGCTACCAGGGGTACACCAACCAAAAAAGGTTGAAAACCCTTGCCCTATATTACAAAGAAAGTATTGTTGCACCACAGTTAAGGAGAACAGCCATAGCTATGGTCTAGAGAATGCCTCAGAGAAAAGCAAACTCAAAAAAAAAAAAAAATCCAACAGCCCACAAAAGGGGAAATAATTCAAAAGATGCTCCCCTATCATTTGAGGAGGGCGGGTTAAACCAAAAGAAAACCCCAAAAAAGACTATTTCAGATTATGCTTGCTTTTATCCTATTTGCTAGTAGTGAAATAACAAGTGAAAAAAAATTGGGAAAAAAATGCAAATATTTTACTTTTAGGCAAAATAAAGAAAAATGACTTCCTGTGAGTCTAAGGAGACTACAGGCAGTCCTCGGACTTACGACACAATTGGTTCCTGAAAACCACGTCTTAAATCAAAACGTCGTAACTCGGAACCAATTTTGTCATAAGAAACAATGTTATAAATGGGGGATTGGCTCCTGAACCAAGGCCCAATACCCTATTTTCACTAAAAATACCCCAAAATTTTGTACTCGATCAATTATAGATGAGTAATATAGCTACTTTAATGTATTTATCTTGTAAATAGTAATTATATTGATTTGGAAGGAATTCTTTGAGGTGACTCTGCTGGACTTTTTGAAAGGCTCTTGGTTGGACTTTTTGAAGGGTTCTTGGATGGAGTCTTCTCAGAAGTCTTGGCTGAAGGTTTTTCTGGAGTCTTGTCTGCTTTCTTAAAGAAAGTGTCCAAGGAAGTTTGGATAGATGTCCTCCAGGGAGATGAGCAATGTAGCAAACTTGTTCGCTGGCGTAGCGTTGCATCAAACCAAGCGTTGTAAAGTCGAAACCGATGTCATAAAGTTGAAACAGGATGTCAATTTATAAAAGTTGTAAGTGCAAAACATTGTAACTCAAAACGTTGTAAGTCAAGGACTGCCTGTACTCAGAGAACGGAAAGTTAAACTCGTGCTTTAATTTTTGCAGGACTATTATTTGTATGCTTTACAGTACCTTGCAATACTGGAGAATAAGAACAAAATTAACTTAAAAAATTGTAACCATTCAACCTCTGAGCACTGAAAAATAAATACTCTTACAGCACTAAGTAGCAAATCAGATATCATGATGGAGTGCAGGACAAAAATATCAAATGGCTATTCAGAAACAGTGCTGTGTTCCACAATAGCAACTAAAATAGACAGGCCACCAAACGGTTATAGTTACCTATGTAATATTAAAAACAGATTCAGCACAAATTATATGTGCAGCACTTAACATTTAAACTTAGGAATGAATACATATTCAATTTAGGATAGTAATGGCACCATAATTATACTGAGATACTGGAGTTTTTTAAAGAAAATAACTTTAGAGACATCTAACAGGAAAATGCAGCATTATTACCTCAAAACTGTTCCATCTTTTGCAAGTTTAAGAAAGTTCCCTTCTTCTAGATCCAAAGCCAAGCCTTTACAGCTAAAACATCATTTGATTTAAAAAGGAGAAAAAAAGGAAGAAAAGACATTACACCTCAAATATAGTCTGACACATAATCAAGCACATCTCGACAAAATGCATCTGGAATTAGTACACAATTTAGCTACAAATAAAAATAACAATGTTGTGATCATTCATGTACTTCCATATTTGAATAACTTTCTAAAAATCAAGTAAATATATTAGGTAAAATCTGGACCACACTGAAGTCAATAGCAAAATCTCATTGATTTTAATGGGGCCAGAATTTCTTTCTAGAAGTTAAAAGGGATTATTCATGTGTATGTAGCCATTATAAATGTTTGGAAGATCAGAGCCAAAATTTCACAATCAAGCAGGTGTATTTAGACATTTTTTTAACATTAAGGAAAACAAATCTAACTATTCATGATGAAAAGTGATATAAATCAGAGGTGCTCAATCCCTGGCCTGTGGGGACACCTTGTAATCTTATCTGTGGGACCTAATCTGGCCTGTGGCCCCCAACACCACGGAACCTGATCTATAGGGCTCCCCACAGGTCCTGTGAAGAGCCCATGGGCTTTGGCCTTGTGTGCTATACTGCTTGTACAGCCCCTGGAACCTGACCCAACTAGGCATGGGAACCTTGCACAGCCTCCACCTGGCTGGGATTGCAAGCATAGCCCCATACTGCCTCAGAGCCTGACCCTGGCACACAGGGGCAGCACACAGCCCAATCCAACCTGCAGCCCATCCCCATGTCCTTCATCTGGCCAGTAGGGCCAAACATGTGGGCAACTTGGTCTTGCTACTGGCTAAACTCAATCGAGTTAAACTCAAGACGTCCTAACATCTAAGGGTGCCTGCATACATGCAGAACGCCTGCTCAAATGTGCTGTAATTACAGCGTATCAGAGCAGATTCAATTAATCGAGTCTGCCAGAGCATGCTAATTAGCACGCTGTAGCAGCCTCGGCCTCTCATGTATTCAATGTCCCTGCAATTCAAAATGGCAGCAGGTGCACCTTAACTAAAGCCCATTCAGCAAGCTTTATAAAGCATCCTCTCCACCATTTTGAAGGGCAGGACTGCTGAATGCACAAGACATTGCAGGCACTTTAATTGGAGTGGCTCCTGAGAGCCACGCTAAATAAAGTGCCCTCCCACCCCAAGAACACATGAAAAGACCACCTAAAGGATCAAAAGGATACTTTTGAAAGTTTAATTGTAGCTCAACACAGCAGGAGAGAACAGGTACATCTCATTTATCTGGAAATGTTTCAGAGATATTTGAACATAGGGGAAAAAGGTTGAGTAAACAACTTGCAGAATTGAGGGAGTTAAGGAATATGAAATGTAATGCCAAATTTAATATATAATTAGATTCTGAAAAAAATCTGCAGTTTCTGGAGTTTAACAACTAGAATGGAGGCTTTTTTTTTTTTTTTTTTTTTTTTTTTTTAAATGAAATCAATGCGATTTCCATCCTTCATTACCAGATAGGTAGGAGTGGAGTGGGATGAGGCCAACTAGGAGTTCTGAGCCATCACAAAGTAATGTACATGCGGGCCACATGATTGTCTCTACTACAGTAGCAGTGGATCCAAACACCTGCATGTTTTGAGCATACCCTGCCAACACATGCCTCAAGCTATGCTCCAAACCAGAAAATAAACCAGTGAGGCTACTCTGGGCTCATCCTTCAGCCCTGCTCTTGGTGTCCAGTATGCTGAGAGTGGCTTCTAGAGACAAGCCTGGAGCTGCATCTCACTAGCATACTCAGGGACTTGGAGCACTCCTGCAGGATAAATGGGTGTAGTCTGGCCAAGCTGTGCTTAAACAGATATGTGCTGGGAGACGGTAATGGTGTAGATAAGCCCTTTTGGTTGATCCACAAGATGGACTCCTATGTCCATGCAAAGACCTGTAGATTTCTGTGAAGCTACACATAACTACAGGAATCAACCAGCATGCATCAGCTTACAGGACCAAGGCCTACATACGTGCTACTACAAAATATTTGTAAGCCTCAGGTAATTCATGAGAAATAACAGATGGTATAAATACACTGCTTGAAGAACACAGGTTGGAATTACAGTTGATTGGAAATGTTCTGACAAAATGGTTTTTCATCAGAAAAACATAAATATTGATCTGTAAAAACAAAACCTTTCCATGGAACACATATCCATTTCAGCAAGGATAGAATATATAGT